CTGATGTAGGCCATGGTATTTTCAGGTGAAAGCTGGGCAAGGAATAAGGGAGACTGGCGAAGAACTGATGCATTTGAATTACAGCGGTGGCGAAGATTATTGGGGGTGGGGTGGGGTTGGGGGATTCCCAATGTAGGAGGCCAGCGAGAGCCGCGTGTCCATGGGGGACCCTTTCCCCCAGCCCTGTCCAGGTCTTCTTTGTGCCTCTTGTTTTCATAAATGCTCTCCTCTGGGGCATCACTGCTGTCCATGATGCCACAGAACTCACCAATCCCAGAAGGAACTTCCTTGGCGGGACCCTGCTGGGCTTACAAGCCACATGGGGATTTTACTTCCCGCTGAACGGCCCTGCTTCGCTGTGGCCATCGTGGGCCGGAAACTTGAGCGGCTTCCCTCTACTGCGCGTGGCCACCTCGACAGAGCAAGGCCAGCTTTGCAGGGCTGGACCCCAGGGTGGGGCCATGTCCCTGTGGTGAGCCGCCGCCGCCGCCTGGTTCTGCGCCCACTCCGCTTGCCCCAGGGTTTAGGTCTCCACCTTCTTTTGCAGCTTCCTGCATCATTCAATCTTTTGCCTATAGAATCCTTTAACATTGAAGCTCGAGGCTTGGATTTTTTTCTTGAGTTCTTCCAGTTTAAGATAAATCTACCAAGCATGTTCCTCCTCTTTGGGTCTTGACAGTCATAGATAGAGCCTAATAAACTAAACTTCTGTGTCATCCGGGGTTCATTATTATGAGGGTAAACCAGAGTATTGCTATCAAAGAAACTTGTTCTCGTTTTTTAATATTTTCTGCTTTATTTTTGATTGAGGTTTTGATCTGTTTTGCTTTGTTATTCTTGTTAGTGTGTGTGTGTGTGTGTGTGTGTGTGTGTGTGTGTGTGTTTTCGCGTATATGAAATCCAGGACAGGCAAATCCAAGGAGACATGAACTGGATTAATGCTTCCTTGGGGTTATGGCAGGGGAGGTTGGGGAAAACTTGGGAGTTAATAACAATGAGTACAAGCATTAAGACAATGTTCTAAAACTGATTGTGGCGATGATTGTACAACTCTTTGAGATGTGACTGAACTATTGAATTCTATGATATGTGGATTATACGCCAATAAAATGGTTGAGGAAAAAAGATGAGATCCTTGCAGGCGCTCTGGGGCAACTGCACTCTGTCCTACGGCGTTGCTGCAATGAGCTTGGCAGCAGTGAGTTCCTGGGTCACCTCACCCACCAAGACGCTGTTTCCACCTCGGAGTGTGTCCGCTTTACCGCGAACCTCCATGCCCGCCTCAGTAAGTATTCCCTCTCCACAGCCCCACACGGCACACGAGCCATGAAGAATATGCAAACAAAATAAAACCAAAGGCTAAATCTAATCTATAACTGTCCCAGATAATCCTGTTTAAATTGACCACAGACTTAACCAGAGCGCAAGACTGGTCTACAGCTGTAACAAGTCATACTAGAAGCTGCAGAAACGGGGGAAAGGAATCCCAAACCTTATGCTTGGTGTTATCGTTGCCCTGTTGTGGCGCTGGCTCGTTTTAATTTTATGTGTCAAATACCCTCTTTTTTGGGTTCTTTCCCAAAGCATTTTCTAGAGGCTGAAAGAATAGGTGCTTATTTAGATCAGATTTATAAGAACCGCCAGGTACCAGCTAACCAAGAAAACAGCCTCTTCCTGGCCGAGCGTGCGGTGAGTCGCGTCTGCAAGGGCCTCTGGCTGGTTCTGGACCCGACTCAACGCCAAAAGCACTCCCAGGAAGTGGCATTGACCGTGCCCCTCCTGGGATGGGGTGGGGGGTGGGCGCCTAGAAGAGAAGTTAGAAGCAAAGTCTGTACTTAAACTTGCAACAAGAATGTCTCAGTATGGAAACACTGTCAGACTGAAGCACAGCTGTCTGGTTACCATAACACCATACAAAGTTATTTAAAATGGTAATGCAAGACAACCATCTTTGAGTGCAATTTCTCAGTCTGCAATTTGTCTCTCGCTATATGAAAAAGCACAAAAAAGGATCTGAATTCAATCATAAACAAAGCCACTCATAATTTGTGTAATATACTCCCAAATCATGTTTTTTCCCTTTTCTTTTAAAAATCATTATATTGGGGGCTCACACAGCTCTCATCACAATCCATACATGCATCCATTGTGTCAAGCACATTTATACACTTGTTGCTATCATCATTCTTAAAACATTTTCTTTCCACTTGAGCCTTTGGTATCAGGTCCTCATTCCACCACCCCACCCCCCATGAACCCTTGATAATTTATAAATTATTTTTTCATGTCTTACACTGTTCAATGTCTCCCTTCACCTACTTTTCTGTTGTCCATCCCCCAGGGAGGGGGTTATATGTAATCATTGTGATCGGTTCCCCCTCTTTCCCCATACTCTCCTGGTATCTACTCTCATTAATGGTCCTGAGGGGGTTATCTGTCCTGGTTTCCCACTTTTATCTGTACCAGTACATGCTCTGGTCCAGCCAGAATTAAGGCAGAATTGGGATCATAATAGTGGGGGGAGGAAGCATTAAAGAACTAGAGAGAAGTTGTACGTTTTATCGGTGCTATACTGCACCCTGACTGGCTTGTCTCTTCCTTGTGACCCTTCTGTAAGGCCAAATCATGTTTTTGATCCTTGTTCATAGGTAGCTATCGCTGTAAGGTGGCCAGTAAACTGAATGTAAATTAAAGTGTAGAATTCACTTCCTTGGGCACATTTTCTTATTTCAGGTGTTCATGTGAAGAGCGGCTCCATACTGGCGCATCCTGGCGGACAGTGCCACTGGGGCCCCATGACTAGAGTGCTTGAAACCCCATATACTTCTTTCACTCTCTTGGAGAGGATGCATAATTGGCATAACAAATGTCAACAGCCATTCTTTCTGAATGGCATTCAAAGGCACATAAGAATAAAAAAACTAAACTCCTGTACTGGAGTCACTTCTGACTATAATGAAGCTACAGGACAGAGGAGAGGCACCTAATGGCATCAGAACCATGTGGTGGGCTGCTAACCCAAAGGTCAGCAGTTCAAAGACACCAGCTGCTCCTCAGGAGAAAGACGAGGCTGTCGGCTCTCATAAAGATCTGCAGTATTGAAAAAAAATCTTACCATAGTGAATGATGGGGGGAGTGTGGAGTGGAGACCCAAAGCCCATTAGTAGGCCACTGGAGATCCCCTTGCAGAGGGGTCTCGGGGAGGAGATGAGCCAGTCAGGGTGCGATGTAACAATGATGAGAAATACAACCTTCCTCTAGTTCCTAAAGGTTTCCTCCCTGCTCCCACTACCATGACTCGAATTCTATCTTGCAAGACTGGCTAGACCAGAGGAGGTACACTGGTACAGATAGGAACTGAAAATACAGGGAATCCAGGATGGATGAGCCCTATAGGACCAGTGGTGTGAGTGGCAAAACAGGGAGGGTAAAGGGAGAATGGGTAGGGAAGAGGGAACCGATTACATGGAACTGTGTGTGGCCTCCTCCCTGGGGGACAGACGGCCGAAAGGTGGATGAAGGGAGAAGTCGGACAGGGCAAGATATGACAAAATACCCATTTGTAGACTATCGGGGGCTCATGTGGGAGGGGGGAGCGGGGAGGGAGGGGAAAAATGAGGACCTAATGTCGGGGGTTTAAATGGAGAGAAAATGTTTTGAGAAATGATGTACAAATACGCTTTACACAATTGATGTGTGTATGGATTGGGATAACAGTTGTATGAGCCCCTAATAAAATGTTTTAAAAAAAAATCAAAATAAAATAGCAAAAAAGGGAAAAAAAAAAAAAAAGATCTGCAGTATCATTCTAAGGGAATTCAAGTTTGATATGTTTGTTTTGAAGTAGTCCTAGGGGAGCTGTTGGTTATTTTGTTGTTGTATAAATAGTACTGATTACTTTGGATAACTAAAGCTTTCGGTAATTGCTTCATTTATCAGAACAGAACATTTGATACCATAGTACATTATTTCCTCTGCATTACAAAGTAGCCTTTCTAAATACTGGAAGTTCTACTTAGTTATTACTGACTCAGAACTTGTTTAACCCATAATGTATGCCTAAGGACCATTCTGGATGTTTGGTTCTTTGTTTTTGTGTGTGCGCACCCATAAATACGCATGTACATTTTATTTTACATTCACTAAAAGCTGTTCTAAACAAAAATGGCCTTTAACAACCATGGGTATCTCCCTGTTGTTACAGGGATGGATGCTATCCTTCTGGGCCACTCAAGGAGATCACCTCAAGTACAACTGGGGGGGAGGGGACTTGTAAGTCATAGCTTTTAAATCAAATAAATGATCCAGTAATTAATTAAACAACTTAAAAAATCTCTCAAAATCCACACCTATGGAATCACATAAATGAAACTTTATTTGCAAAATCCTTTGTGCAAGAATAATCTTACCACTACTCAAAACCTCCCCACCCAAATAAAGAAAAGTATACTAATGTTGGTATGTCTTCATGGTTTTTAGTGGGTATTTGTTCCTTTTAGATAACCACATTTTTACAGACAGTTAAAATCTGTGTTACATTGACAAAAAGGTGATTCATGGAATGTCTTAAGACCTTGCTGGTGAAAACCCTAATAAGCTGGTTAGCCATGCTGCCGCTGAGGACCTGCTGCGAACATGGTGAGCAAACTTGTCAGCCCTACACATGACCTGCTGGTTTGTTTTCATCCCACCCACTCTTCACACCGAGGTCCAACCTTCTCAGTACTGGGGTCTGTTTTCATCCCAACCCACTCTTCACACCGAGGTCCAACCTTCTCAGTACCGGGGTTTGTTTTCATCCCACCCAATCTTCACATGGAGGTCCAACCTTCTCAGTACCGGGGTTTGTTTTCATCCCACCCACTCTTCACATGGAGCTCCAACGTTCTCAGTACCGGGGTCTGTTTTCATCCCACCCAATCTTCACATGGAGGTCCAACCTTTTCAGTACCGGGGTCTGTTTTCATCCCACCCACTCTTCACACGGAGCTCCAAACTTCTCAGTACCGGGGTCTGTTTTCATCCCACCCAATCTTCACATGGAGGTCCAAACTTCTTAGTATCAGGTAACTGTAGCTCAGCTAAAGCCAGGAAAAACAACTTTGTAGTAATCAGAATTTTAACTCAATTGTATATTGTTTACTTTCTTGTGAATACTGATGAACTGTGGTCAATAGATAGTTTTATATTCCTTTATGTACAAACAACAACAACAAAAGACTTGCAGTATCAGAAACCCAAAGGGGCAGTTGTACTCTGTTCAATAGGGTTGCCATGAGGTGGAATCAGTTAGAGGGCAGTGTGTTTTAGGGTATGACCGCCCCCACGGGGTTTCCAACACAGTAAATGTTAGGGAAGCACACTGCTCATCTTTCTCCCATGGATTGGCTGGTGAGTTCAAACTGCTGACCTTTTGGTTCGTAGGCAAGTGCTCAAACACTCTGTCACTCAGGTTCCTCATATAATAGAACCCCAAACCAAACAAAAACTAGAGTCATGTTGACTGACTCAGAGTGGCCCAACAAGGCCCGGCAGGATTATTCCAGAGGGTTTCCACAATGGTACATTCTTCACTGAAGCAGAGTGTCTCATCCTTCCCTGCGGAAAGTAGCTTTTGAGTTTGAACCAACACATTTTTGGTTAGCAGTTGAGCACTACCCACTCTCCTGTGTATTGCCTACCACATTCTTGAAACTAGTGGTTGCCCCGGTTAGAGGGGAGTCAGTGCTTCATTCCAACAACGTAACTGTGCTGTCGGAGCTGGGCAGTGTCTTGACTGTAGTGGTCAACAAACCAACCTTCCCACTGCCCCCCCCCCCCCTCAGGCAGATACACACACAAATGAGGATAAATAAAACTAAGGAAGTCTGAGTAAGATCAGTGGGTTGCATCACTATTAATATCCTGATTGGGATAATGTGTTGTAAAACGTTGCCATTGGAACTGGGTTAAGGATATAAGGCATTTTCTGTGTTACGTCTTACAAATGCATGTCTCTTAGTGAAAATTTCATTAATTAAAAAAAAAAAGCATTCTTGGGCAGGGTGGAGGGAAGGTGAGGGAGAAAGGGGGAACAGATGACAAGGTCTACATATGGCCTCCTCCCGGGGGACGGACAGCGGAGAAGTGGGTGAGGGAGATGTTGGATGGGGTAAGATATGATACAATAATAATAATAATAATTTATAAATTATCAAGGGTTCAGGGGGAGGGGGAAAAATGAGGAGCTGACACCAAGGGCTCAAGTGGAAAGCAGGTGTAAGAATGATGACGTCAACATATGTACTAATGTGCTGGACACAAATGATGTATGTACGGAATGTGATGAGTTGTATGAGCCCCTAATAAAATGATTATTAAAAAAAACCCCAATAAAAAAGTCCCCCCCCCCAAAAAAAAAAGCATTCTGGGCTCAACTTATGAAACCTTATTGTCCATTCTGTGGCTGCTACAAGTTTACTAATTGTCATTTATTTCCTCAAGATTTCAAGATTTCTAGAACTCCATTTGCAGTCATCTTTGTAGATATGGTAAACACACCCTTGACTTTTTCCAGAATAATATTAATATTTCTTGTATTTTCATTATTTGTAATAGTAGGGATTATTAGAAAGACATAGTAAATACAACAATTTAAATTTTTTATTAAGATTCTTTAATGTAAAAAATAAAATTAGACAAAATTATTTGTCAAAACATGTGTCCCACTTTTTGATGGAAGGAAAAGTCATACACATCCACAGCTAAATAATGACCCCAGGAAGTGCCTTCATCCTCTTGAGTCCGATCTCTCTGTGCTAGCTGGGAGCTGTGCTTGTGTTGGCCTCTGTGTGTAAGAGGAGGCATCTGAGGCACCATTTCTGTCAGGAAGCAAGTGACCCCTTTGCTCCACCCCTCAGACCCAGAACCCCGACTCCACCATGCCTCCTTGGCTTCCCACCGCCTCCTGAAGAGAAGTACTAGGGGAGTATGAGCTGAGAAGCACCATTTTCCTTCTTCCTGCTCATGGGTCAAATTTGCCTTTGTGGTAGTCATACTTCCCAATGTAACCTGGCCAAGGCACGGGAAGGGGAGTTTCAGTTTGACTTGAGATGCCACGAGTTGCTGACTCGACAGTAACATTTCTGAGCAATCCTCTGATTTAAATGTACCACAGCAACAGGGTGATGGGATCGGAACAAAGGCAGCTATCGCATGGTACTATTCTGTCGGTCAGGTCCCTTATACAGGAAAACGTGTGTAGGGTAGAAACCTGTTAGCGAAAGAAAACTTAAATCTTTTTTACTAATAGTAATGAAAACTAGTCAGACTGAATTCTGTCAAAGGAAGAAAACTTGAAAGCCATGGGAAAACAAGGCAGCCTCATTCAGTCCTGGCTCTCACAGGTTTCACTGTACTGCTGGGGCTGGGGAGAGGAAGGGGCGCCACAGCACCCTGGGAAAGTGCAGGGTGTTCACTCTAATCAATCCTACGTGTATCTTTGAGAACACGAGGAAAGTGCTATGTAGTAGTAGGTAAGCACTAGACGCCTAACCTAACCAAAAGTTCAGTAGTCTGGAGCTACCAGCAGGATCAGGAAAAGATGTGGCAGTCTGCTTCCTAGAGGTTCATAGCTTTGGAGCCCATTTTGGGCCATGCTCCCACTCTGTCCTACAGGGTGGCTATGACTTGGAATTGGCTGGGCAGCAATGGGTACTTACTTTCTGATCATGTAAACATATAACACCCAGCAATGTGCTTTGAAATCTGTTATCATTCAATTGATTGAAGAGTCATCTTTTTATATAATATTCTCTAGGTTAGGAACATCAAAGGGAAGGTTTGCTAATCCTGCATACATATAACAGCTTGTATAGTCTGTTTTCCCTCTACCCCTGAAACCATTTGTCATCCTCAGTGTTCAATTCAGCACCAGGGCCCTTGAGAACTGTGCACCAGGAGCCCCATGAGCACTTACAATGGGGCTCAGTCCCGTTTGTGAGTTTCAGCATTTCCCTAAATTCATCCTGTCAGGCTACCATGGCTCAGGGTCAGTACAATTTCAAAAAATAATCTCCAGAGTAAAATCTCAAGTTTATGCAGCTCCTTTTTATCTCACTCGATATAAATATTGTGGAAAGAAAGACATGATTTCCCAAAAAATAAGTAAAAGAAAGCTTAAGCAAAAATATTACCATGTAGAAAAAGAATGTTTGGGAACGGAGTGTGGTAGCAATTGTACATTCTACTTGATGTGGTTGAAATAAAGAATGATTTGATATATGTATTAAATCCTAACTAATTTAAAAAAATTAAAAAATTAGACAATTATAAGACAAGAACAAAGAATATGAAAAATTCCATATATGTGAATGAATTAAAGATATTTAATTAAAAAAGAGGAAATACTATATAAAGATCATGATAAAAAACTAAACTGAAATATAACCTAAGGCAAAATAATCATCACAAAATGCTGTAGATCATGCTTGCTGTACATTTGGAGGGGAACAAAAGTAAACATTTGTACATACAATGAAGTCCCTTCAAATATGGTCACCAATGTTATTACAAAGCAGAACACCTATACATCAGTGAGAATTTACCTGCACTTCTGGTGTTAGATCCTTAAGCCTAAACATTCGGGCCAAACTAGTGCTCCTTCTTAGAAGTGAAGAGTCCTGGCGCTGCAGCATCCCTGTAGTTTCTGAGTCTTCTTTGGCAAGAACTTTCTGACAGAAATAAGTGTTCAGAATAACAGGGCAACTTCCATCTGGGATAACAAGTTTTTGCCTGGAAAAAGAAAAGAAAAACCTAACAGCTTATTTGCAGCATTAGTTTTCCCTCATATTCTTTGTTAGTTTTTCATATATATATACCAAACCATTTTATTAGGAGTTACACAAGACACCACACCATTCCACAGTTCAATCACACCATGCAGTGTTGTACAACTGCTACCACAATCAGTTTCAAAACATTTTCTTCCTTCTTGACCTCCCTGATATCAACTCCCCATATTCTTGCTAGATCAGGAATGAAAACAGCAGTGACTCAGCTGTCCAGAGCTACGTAAATCAAGTCACTTTCCGAGTCTGAATGCCTTTACACTTGCTCAAAGGGTAGTCAATGGATCTGATTCTACTTTTCAGGGGAAAGCTCTGTGCCAGGTAAGGCAAACTTGGAAGATAGGGAGCGTGGGTTCTTGGGATTGTTCTCCTTCAAGTTCTCCTGTGCCCAATAGACTATGACAACTCAAAGAGACAAATGGATGGGCAGAGACTATCCATAGGCTTACAGAAGTGTCCAGGCATCACAAATAAAGTGAAAAAGGAGTATGAAGAAATTTGAAGGGACTTCAAAGATTTTGTAGGACAATTGAATGAAAAGAAATGGAATTTTCCCAAGAGGTTTTGAAGCCCCCGCATATAGACTCAACTCTGAGCAGCCAGCAGTTGTGGAGTGCAGTCTCCTGGCTAAGATCACAGCTTCGAAACAATTGGAAGAACGAATTCTCAAGAGTGTGGCCTGCTCCTTTTAAAGCAGACTCCGTGGGAAAGCTTGTCACTTATGCTGGATCTGGATCCTGCATTTGGCTTGTTGAACTCGTCATATTGCCTGTCCGTCCCGGGAGCCATCAGTGGATGGCTGACCTTGGATTCATTTACTTTTACATCCACCAGCCTGGGGTCTTCCTGCTTCCTAGTTTATTATCGCCCACAACTAGATGAGTCAGGAGAAGCTTCCAGCTTAACCTCTAACCTATGGACTTGGATCTGAGTGGACTCATGTCTACAACTGTGTGAGCTATTTCTTTATATATGTATATTTTTTTCTATGTACATACACATATAAACATCACTGGTTTTGCTTCTTTAGAAAAACGAGCCTGACACAGGAGCCTAGACTCCCACCCTCATCAGACTGCAATGAAACAGCCAACATTCCAGTTAGTAGAATGGTACCAGAGGGACAGAATAGGGGGTCTACACTTTTCACCCATGTAAGAAGAACTCCTCCCCAGTGAAGAACAACATGTGAAAAGCATGGACCTTCTACCTATATCATGCAGCCGCAACAAAGTACCCTTACTCTCTGGGTAGTGTCAGAGGAGATCTAGTGGACAATCAAGACTTGCACGACTGCCCAGTCTCAATGAGGCTTCCCTCTAACAGTAGTGAATATCAATTTAGATGTAAGGCTCAGCTGGAACTTCCATGCCTGTCTAGCAATAAGTAGGAGTCACTTCCTGTGCTGCTATCAATGGAGTCATAGAGGGGAACATGGATTTGTATCTCCACCTAATTGTAATGAGGCAGTAGTCGTCCAGGGCAGTGTCAGAAAAGGTTGTTGTGGCAGTTACATAATCTCTTGTCAACTTGAGAGAATTAAGAGGGAAGGGGTGGAGTCTAGCCTGTCAATCAGATCACAACCTAAAGATGCCTCCTTGTGGGTATGGCCTTCTCATGAGGATTCTGGGGACTTGCTCTCTCTCTCTCTGTGCTTTGCCTTGCTGTTGAGTAGCCATACTCGGAAAGCTGGAGGAGCCACATGGAGACTCATGTCAGTGGTTAGATGCTTCCACTGCCACTGGATTCACAAGACTTTCCACCCACTGGCCTGTGATGTTCCTGAATTCAGCATCATTGCATGTACTGTGTGAGTCTGAAGAGGAATTTATAGACTAATTAGTATCAGACATATGGGTTAACAGTGGACTTATGGGCTTGATCTGGAGTGGGCAGGGATATTTTCTCAATATACAATTTCTCTTTGATATAAAGGTCTTCCTTATACATATATGAGTGTCTCTAGATTTATTTCTCTAGTCAGCCTGGTCTAACACATTATGGTACAGGAGAGGGGTACTAGAGAAACAAATCATGAATATGGTGAATGGATGCTTGTTTGACCTCTGCCTCACGTTAGTTTTTCTTCTTTGGCTAGCCAGAGATGAGATAAGGCCATGCTGTTTATGGATTGTTTCCTGGAAAAGTCATGGGAAATGAAGGTTTTGATTCCTAGAAATTGTTTTTGGTTATTCCTTTCTGAAATGGTGAAAATGAATGTGATAAATGTGAATCTTGAACTCAGGGGGCAAAATTGCCCAATTGAATTTCTCAGCTACCATGATGCTTAGTCAAAATAGGTGACAGAAGGTTAAAATGGCTGATAGAAAGCCTGGCCCTGGCTTCATGCAGTCAGAGGTCTAAGGCTATATTAAATAATAAAAATATAGATAAGTTTAGATAAGATAGTTTAGATTAGGATTGAATTTAACTATTTTAAGAAGGTGTTTAGGGTCTGACTCATGTTCATATTGATTTCTTATGCTTATTGTTATTGTTACAATGATTGATAGGGATGATTATTGGGAAGTATGAAAATAGAGAGTTTGTAAGCCCACTTGCCTTCAGACATTAAATAGAATCTTTAAATGGGTGTAGGAAACACCTGCTAAAAAGGCTCTGAAAGCTGTTGATAGAATGAAGAAGAAGAAAAAAAAACACTTTGGCTTTTTAAATTTTGAGCTGCTGGTTTGTGCCCCAAGCTGGAAAAATATGGAGCTCTGGAGAAACTCCTAAGATGGAATGTAAAAGGGAGCTTAAGGGCAGCCTGAAACACTTGCTAGGTGACTACCTGGATTCACTTGTTGAGTGGACGTGATATTATGCAGCAATAAAGAGACGGGTTGAATCTGGCCCTCATACCATGGACCTGGTTCACAATGACTAGAGGAGAAGACAAGAGTAGGCTGGCTAGTCTGAAGTTCATGACTTACCACAAGGGGGATAGGGCTGTTCAGGATTTGTGATGGGCCCAGGGTCAAAAGGTAAGGTGGTCAATGGGCACACTGGTTAGACCAAGCAAGGTGGCCCACACTGAGTTGACCAAAACCTGACCAGATGAAGAAAAGATTTTTGCGTTTGTGAATTAGTGCATATTGCTGTTGGTTTTCTGGATAGCCTATCCTGATTTGCCTTTGCTTATGGATGTGGATCACAATTGGAACTGGAATTGGATTCTAATTGGAATCAAGATTCTTCACATGGAAGAACATGCTTGTCTCCTCAGAGTACTGGGTTAATATATGTGGACAGTAGAGAAATTGGATGCCCAGAATGGGGGTGTGTAAAGGAATGAAGTGGTTGGCTTACATACTTTCATGGGTGGGGGCATATCTTCACAGGATTATAAGATTATGGTGTAGGTGTTGCCATAACTGCAATTGTTAAGTACAGAATGCTTTTGTTTTGTTCACTTATAGGATATTATGTTTAAATGTAACTGACACACTTGGAGGTATACACATTTTAGTTTTATCCTATTAGGTACAAATATGATTTTAATATTGTTTTGTTTAAAAATTATGCATAGCTACAGAGTTGTGTAAAAGTTTCAAGTTGAGAAGGGGTGGTCTGTGGTAAGTACATAATCTATGTCAACTTGAGGGTCTTAAGAGGGTAAAAATGAAGAGCCGATATTAAGGGCTCAAGTAGAAGGCAAATGTTTCGAGAATGATGATGGCAACAAATGTACATATGTGCTTGACACAATGGATATATGCATGGATTGTGATAAGAACTGTATGCGCTCCCAATAAAAGGATTTAAATTTAAAAAAAGTAAATAGATTAGAAAAATTTTGGAAAAGTAAAATGAGAAAATTGGTCTACCTGATTTAAGACTCATTACATAATAGCACAGTATCAAAATTGCATTGTACTAACAGAAGGAGACTCTTGGATCAAAGGAATAGACTGAAGAATCCAAAATTAGGCACAAGTAGAAATGCTCAACTAATTTTGGACAAAAACAAAAAGCAATTCAGCAAAGGCCAGGCTTTTCTCCAGATGGTGCTGGAGAAACGGAATATCCACAAGCAAGTACAGAAACGTTTCACACATTATACAAGAATCTAACTCAAAATTAACTACAAATACGAATATATTGAATAACATTTTAAAACTTTGAGTTAAAACATGGGAAAATACTTAGTATTGACTTAAAAAAATAAAATTGTGCCATAAAAGAAAAAAAAGTGATCAATTCAACTTAAAACTAACCATTTTTGCTCTATGAAAGGTTCTATTAAGACAGTGGTTCTCAATCTTTCTAATACCGCAACCCTTTAATACAGTTGCTCATGTTGCGGTGACCCCCCCCCAACCATAAAATTATTTTCGTTGTTACTTCATTACTGTAATTTTACTACTGTTATGAATCGGGCGACCCCTGTGAAAGGGTCGTTTGACCCCCAAAGGGGTTGCGACCCACAGGTTGAGAACCATTGTATTAAGAGAATAAAAAGACAAACTAGAGATTTCAGGATAATAATTTGCAAATTATCAAAAAAAGTTAAAATGTTGATTATACATAGAACTCTGAAGACTAAACAGTAAAAACAAAATGAAACAAGAGCATTGTTAGAGTAATAAATCAATTTAGCAAGTTGGGAAGGATATAAGGTCAATATACAAAAATCAGTAAGCTTTTTACAAAACAACATGTAATCTGAAACGGAAACTAAGAAAAAATTCCATCTACAATAGCCTCGGTGAGAATAAAACATTCATAAATAAACCTAGCCAAGGAAATGAGACTGTGTAATGAAAATTATAAAGCATTCTTGAAAGAAATGAAAGAAAGCCTACACAAATGGGAGCATATTCTGTGCTCATAGGTAATATGTTACCTAATTTATATTATTACCAATAGTACGTAATTTATAGATTTATTACCAATACTACCTAATTTATTGATTCAACACAGTCCTCATAAAAATTTCAACAG